GACCTGACTTTTCATGTAGAATGTTCTTGACCTTTCCAGATCCCCCTAACTGTGCGTTAGGACATCGCACTGGAGACATGTTTTCAAATGTTACCAAAATGCAATTTATATCTTACCAAGCAATAAAATTAAAAACATAAAACCTACCTTTTTCAAGCTCTTCTAAAATAAAAGCTCTTGCACTATCTGATTCTAAAAATTTCATAAAAGATTCAAATGTCGGTCCCGAATTCATGAGGATTCTTAAACATACTCGGCAGGCGTCTTTTCTTGTTTTGTCTAAAATACTCTCGTGCTGGTCGCTGGTAATTTTCCTTTCTTTGTATAAGTAATCAGCCAAAGGCCTTGGCTCAATACTGTCTATAAGAAATTCATAGTTATTTCGTAGTATCTTTTTATAGTCTACTTCCATTTCCATCTGAAATATCAAACCAAAATTATATTATAGTAACTACAAATTAAATACCCTCTCGTTGTGAAACATTAAACTCTTTTAACGATTATTTGATTGATTGATTGATTGAATATTTTAGTGAAACAACGTTTCACACGATAAACACAAGGAAATTATGGCTATGTGGAAAGAGAACCATCTCTAGTTTTTGACTTTGCGCAGCAGTACCTATTCCCCCCTGCCGATTCAGGTCCACCAACACTCGAATACAGTCATCCAGAATGGCCACAACTGTCAAGAAATGATTATATTGTTACTCTATGTTGTAGTCCAGATTCATGTATTCCAAAACTATTATTATTATTATTAACAATACTATGACATGCATATTACACAATCAAAGTTCTGGATGACCAAGACCTAGAGATGGCTGTTTTAGAGATTGAAGACCTTCTATAGCATATAGACATTTTACCCTTCGTACACATGTTGCGTCGTTATGAAAATTCACAGAACATTTCGCAGTGCTACTTGCAAATACAGGATTTCGTATAGGTCGTTCCTAGTAAGATGTCCAGAATTTTTGTTTAATGCCTTGTCTAATAATGACAAAATTTGACCATGTTGTAGATTTGAATATTGTTAGAACTTATCAAAAGCAAAAAGTAATTTTCAAGCAAATCTCGTTGTCTTCTTCTCAACCAAATCTTTTATAGCTGGCTATATACCTTTTGATAAAGTCGTGGATCACCAGTCGGAAGTGGTAATATTTTGGGAATAGGCCCTGTCAGTTCTTCCAATACAAAATGATATTACACATTTTGACAACAAGAATTGCTGTATATTATTTACTTTTTAATATTAATTAGTAATTAGTTGATAATTTAGTTTCATTAATCTATAAATATCACAATGATGTAGCTAAATTTTCACCTCGACCTGTGCACGTACTCTTACCTTGTCATTGTGAAGTAAAAAAGGGTAAATTGAATTAAATAGGTATGTTTAAGTAAAGTTTGGGCACGTTATAGTTCGATAGCAGTGTTTACAGGGCCAATAGTGTGAAAAGAGAAAGTCGTGAAAATCGAAGACCTTTAACTTGGCTCCATGCAAAAATAACAGGAACTTTCAAATGTGGTTCTTCTTTGATGACTATGTTCAAAAACTTGGAATGTAGAAATATATCAACACCGC